TAACAGAATACATGAAATTTATAATAATTTGATCTCATTGTCATTCAGGGTTTTGAAAATATACCTAAATTTGAACAGCAAGGTCCATGATGGCTTACAGTTCGTCCCTTCTGCTTCAGTTTTGAACTTCCTACAGTGTTTTTCACACTCTCACTCTGTCTCGATTGACAATTAACCTTTCTACGCTTTAAATGACCTCCACCTTCAATCTCATCGCTACTACTTGATGATTGAGATGGAGAACTGGCAGAAAGAGAGTATGAAGCATCATCACAATTACTGTCACTATCTACTGCAATTCTTTTTCCATCGCGTTTAGATGCCACATCTTTTTTTTTTTGTTCATCTTCTTTGGCTTTTGTTGCAATTTTTCCCTTTTTTTCAGCGCGCCTAGCCACATGCTTAATCCTTTCCATTTGATGTTCCTAGATTATGAGTTCATAATGAGATGTTGCACTTATAAAAACAGAGATCATAATAAGACTTTAAGTAAATTTAGAAGCATAAAAGTTAAAAGTTACAAGTTTAAAAGATCTTATTATTTATATTTTATTTAAAGTTAAAAGTTAAATTTTATCATATAAAAAAATCATCCAAAAAAACACAGTCACATGTTAATTTAAAGAGGATTTTGAAAGGGATTATGAGGTATTTAGTTGTCAACAATTTTCACTTTTATGTAATTGAATTTTTAACACAATCACGAACCTACACCAAAATTGGAGAATGAATATTGTGTGGTTATAGACTAAATAATGAATTGGCAGACTTCACAAAATTTCGCATTCATCAATTTTTATTTAGTGCAATAAAAGAAGAAGAAGAAGAAGAAGAAGAAGAAGAAGAAGAAGAAGCATATTGAAGGGATTAGATGCCTAATGACTAAATAATGAAAGTCTGCAAGCTACTCTCTTGGCAGACTTCACAAAATTTCGCATTTATCAATTTTTATTTTGTGCAATGTAAATAAAAAAAATGGAATTTTAATGTATTCGTAAATAAGAAATTATTGCAATTATTACAAAAAGCATACAGACTTTACAAACATATATATAATTTTACCTTTTGCAGTCCATATTGGATTATTTTAGTTCACAAAGTGATGTAGTGTAGAACTTATAAATAGTTTAGTTATTTTACACATAAATAGTAATTACTTGAGTTATATGTTAGTTTTTAGCGATTTTCTGGTTCTATGACTTTAACATGGAGATCTCCACATTACTTAAGTAAGTTTATGCAATGCACATGTAAACTTAACTGCATAAAGTATGACGCTTGGAACAACTGTGGTCTTGACATGTAAGCAAGGAGAATACTTGGTTGTAGGCTACGTCACATAATTCTAACATAGGAGAGAGATTGGTCTTAATTTATAGCAAGTTTCAAAGTGATTTAGGGTCCTTGAGAAACCAAGTACACTGATATTCTGTGATTGAATTTAATAAGGAGCTTTATTGACATACTAGAAACAATGAGCCCCCTAAGCTACTGGTGGAATGACTTAACAGACAGAATAAAATTAAAATTTGGAACTTGATGTGGAAAAGTAACACAAAAAAAACCAATACATGATACATAAACTGATCAGAATCATATTTTCCAAGTAAATTCTTAGTTCTCCTGATTAACTCGACTTGTTAAATCTATTCAATTATGAACTACTCTTTTCTTTGTCACCAACTCATGACCTTGTCAGGGGCAATCCATCACTCATCCTAGAGGTTTTCTCAACCACCACATTTACTTAGATTTTTCTGACACTTTAAATGGTGAACTTTTCATCACCATTATAAATTTAATCAATTTTGCCTCACTAGTAAAAATATTAAAACTGAATTCAACAAGCAAGTTGTAAAGATTTAATTCTAACATAGGAGAGAGATTGGTCTTCATTTACAGCAAGTTTCAAAGTGATTTAGGGTACTTGAGAAACCACGTACACTGATATTCTGTGATTGAATCTAATAAGGAGCTTTATTGACATACTAGAAACAATGAGCCCCCCAAGCTACTGGTGGAATGACCTAACAGACAGAATAAAATTAAAATTTGGAACTTGATGTGGAAGAGTAACACAAAAAAAACCAATACATGATACATAAACTAATCTGAATCATATTTTCCAAGTAAATTCTTAGTTCTCCTGATTAACTCGACTTGTTAAAGCTACTCAATTATGAACTACTCTTTTCTTTGTCACCAACTCATGACCTTGTCAGGGGCAATCCATCACTCATCCTAAAGGTTTTCTCAATCACCACATTTACTTAGATTTTTCTGACACTTTAAATGGTGAACTTTTCATCACCATTATAAATTTAATCAATTTTGCCTCACTAGTAAAAAAATTAAAACTGAATTCAACAAGCAAGTTGTAAAGATTTAATTAAATTTACAAATGCAAATAAAATTTAGACAATAAATCATATCAATGGTAATCACAACTGTGACCTTCTTATTCGTGAAAAATAGTAGCATCTAAGAGCATAAAAAAAAAGTAAATTCGACTTAACTAAACAGAAACAAGGCCGGCGAAGATAGCGAAGCAAACCGTGGCCGGAATTTGACGGCAAGCAAACCAAGGCCGGCGAAGATAGCGAAGCAAACCGTGGCCAGAGAAGAACCCAGAATCAAGGCGCCGGAATTTGACGAACTAAGGCCGGCGAAGATAGCGAAGCAAACCGTGGCCAGAGAAGAACCTAGAATCACGGCGCCGGAATTTGACGGCAAGCAAACCAAGGCCAGCGAAGATCGTGACCAACAAACGCTGAATTTTGACTCTCCTTTCTTTGATCGAAACCCAAAGAATTTAGGGTTATTTGCCGCTGTTTTCTTTTCTTTGCAGGGGTTCGTCTTTTCTCAGATTGTCAATAGGGTTAGCTTTTTGAGTATTTGTTTTTTCTTTTTATGTAATAAATTACCATATAAGTTAACGGAAGGCAGATTTAACGGAATAATGCGTTTTGCACCATTTTCATGGAGCCCACAGACATATTACAAATTGAAGCATACGTGGCCAAACTAAGGCCTTTCATCAACTCACAGCAGGGGACTGTAGGGTAACTCACAGCAGGGGATTTGAGCCCCTTTGGACTCGTACCATTCGCCCAAACCTCTTCGGGTAATTATTATACCGATTTCTATATGTTGTGTTTAGCTTTGAATTCCCTGTGTGTGTGTGTGTGTGTGTGTGTACACTGTACTATACTTTATGCTATGGAAATGGTGGGCATTATGTACTATAATAACTAATATTTATAACTTATCTATTTCTCTGTAGGTAGTGCTTCTAATTACACGACTTTGTTTACGGAGGAACACAATGTATTGAGGTCAATGGCTAGTGGGTTCTGCATATGTGACAAATCTATCTATCTTTTTCTTTTTCTTTACCAAAATTATTTCAAAATAAGAGGCCTCATTTTACTGTTTTATACATTTAACACACAAAAAAAAAAGAAAAAAAAAAAAGAAAAAAAAAAAGTGAGTGGTAGGTATTTTAGTAATAATGTATTGTTTTGATTTTAAAGGTAATTTCGTCCGAATTTTTTTTCACACAATCACTCAAATAGATGTTTCATGTTAAGGGTAATTTTGTCCGAAAAATTTCCTCACACAATCACTCTAATAGAAAGGTTAGTTAAAATGACTCCCTCATGATAGTTGAGGAGGATTAATTACTAAAAATATTCATAGAGAAATTTTTTACAAATGGGTGAAAGTCGAGGAGGATTTTTTACTATACGCCCAACAAAATATTAACCATTGTTGACCTGTATTTATCTCAGAAGTAGTGCAATGTTCAAGTAAAAGTACATCAATCAAGTTAAGAAAAGGCCCGAGAAAGAGAAAAGAAAAAACCTAGTAAACTGTGATCATTTTTGTTGTAATTATGGTTCATCATATTGTACACGACGTATTGGTCTATACATAATTTTTCTTAAAATCTGATATGTGATTCATATCGGTCAATTTATACTAATTTTATTTGAACCCATTACACTACGATCGTGACCAATACTGCGAACCATGGTTATAATACAGATAAAGTTCATAAAATTAGAGATGAAAAAAGACCAGCCGATGTACAAACAGTTGAGGAATAGTGGCAAACTCTATGCTTCAAAATTTAGGACCCGTTTGCAACCATAATTGCTTTTGTACTTTTGCTTTGATTCGAAGCAGAAGTAATGTTTCTGCTTTTAGAGTGTATTCGACACTATTTAGAGGCTTATTTGGCAATGTAAATTTATTACAAAATTTTTAGAAGCAAAAACATAAAAGCATGTTTGGTAAAAAGTGTTGCAAGTTAGAAAATTTGAATGGTTAGTTAAAAATAATTATTTTATTTTTTATTTTTTTGTACTTTTGCTTTGATTCAAAACAGAAGTAATGTTTCTTTTTTTAGAGTGTATTCGACACTATTTAGAAACTTGTTTGGTAATGTAAATTTATTACAAAATTTTTAGAAGCAAAAACATAAAAGCATGTTTGGTAAAAAGTGTTGCAAGCTTGAAATTTTGAATGGTTAGTTAAAAATAATTATTTTATTTTATTTTTTATTTTTATTTTATGAACACTGCTTTGCTATAGTACGGAAGAAAACAAAAGCATTATTTTGATATTTTCAATTCTGGTCTTAATTTTGGAAGCGGTACTATTCAAAAGTACAGTAAATATTATTAAACAAGCTTCATACTTTTACTTTGTTACAGTAGGTTAGTAAAAGTAAAAAACACGAAATAAAAGCATCAGCTAAACAAGCCTGTGTAAGAAGGAAAAAAAATATATAAGTATTTTAATGTAGATATATATATAATAGCTGTATTAATTCTGGTATCAACTTCCACAGAAATGACAGCCTGTAATTGGAATGTGTTACCCACGCGCCTATATAGCGTTTCTTGGTCATAATTACAAATGTATCTTATTTATTTTTCAAATTACTAATAATTGCTTCTTCAGCTCCCCCCTTTCCCTCTCTTCGTTCGCTTTCCCTTCCTTTGTAGTCAAACCAGAATCAATCCTGTCCTTCCTCATTCGCCTATCCATTTCTTGCATTCTTCTTCACTTTCTCTCTCCTCTCTCTCTTTCTCTCTCTATATTTACACACAAATATATCACAAATTCGTTGCATCATTCATTCATTCAATTACTGTGAACTCTTCCAATGGCAGCACCTGTGGTAGACGCAGAGTACCTCAAGGAAATCGAGAAGGCTCGTCGTGATCTTCGTGCTATCGTCTCCAGCAATAATTGCGCTCCTATCATCCTTCGTTTGGCGTAAGTACTCATGCACTCACCCTCTTTTTCAATTTGAAAATTAGACTTAGGTGGTATGATTATATATATATATATATATTCAACATAGACTCGATGATGCACATATTAAAAAGAAATAAACAGTTTCAGGTGACTGACCGGAGGCTTAGATGATGTTACTTGTTGCAGGTGGCATGATGCAGGAACTTATGATGCTGCAACAAAGACAGGAGGACCTAATGGTTCGATCAGGAACGAGGAAGAGAAAAATCACACCTCAAATAAGGGTCTATCAAAAGCAATTGATTTTTGCGGTGAACTTTTCTCAATGCAATTCAGAAATCAATGATGTAGTTAGTTTAATTTATATATATATATATATATATATATATATATATATATATATATATATATTATAGAAGTTGAAAAACTGACCTTCTTCTAATTGTTTTGGTATTGATATTAGAACCAGTGAAGGCTAAACATCCAAAAATCACATATGCTGACCTTTATCAGGTAAATTACATCCGAAGAAACATTTTTTTTTTTTTTTTTTGGAAATCCACCCTTCGAACTACTTATTCTTTGGACTCGTTACTGCAAAGTAAACTTCATATATGTACAATCACGAACAAACTACAAAATCTTCCTGCTAGAACATATCACTTCTTACTGGACAAAGGGTCCATTTTGTTAGATTGAATTTTTATGTATATATATGAATACAAGGGATAGCTATTAAGACCATTATATTACCATATGCTTATGTAAAATGATTTTTTTATGAAGATTTAGGTTGGAGCAATACATAATAAAAGTTATAATTGGATTTGCAGCTTGCTGGTGTTGTTGCGGTTGAGGTCACTGGTGGACCCACCATTGACTTTGTTCCAGGAAGAAAGGTATGTTTGTAGGGAAGCTAGGGTTTTAATCATTGAATTACTCTTCTCCATTAACTTCCTCCTCCTCTCAATCAGGATTCCATGGATTCTCCCAAAGAAGGGCGCCTTCCAGATGCTAAACAAGGTTGGTCCACTAACCAAGAACTGAGTTTTAGGGCCTCCCCCCATGGATTGAATCCGTATGTGATTCAAACCGTTTTGATTCGACACCTACGAATCACGAACGGTAAAGAAAGAATAATTTAATTTTATAACTGCAAGTGAAAAGAATGTTTTTTTGTTTTGAACCCGTGATAGAACAATCTTACCATTATATCAAGACTCGGCCTCATTTGTAGTTCCACAAACTACAAAATCCTTATTTTCTTTTCTTGCAGGGGCTTCACATCTAAGGGACATCTTCTATCGGATGGGTATGTCTAACAAAGACATTGTAGCACTATCTGGAGGCCACACATTGGTATGTATCTCCAACTATGAATAAACAGTTCTTTAGTGTTGATAAGTGTATATTTAATTAATTACCGGAAGGGAAAAAAGAAAAGAAAAAGTTTACATTTAATCATAGTCAATTTTATTGTAGGGAAGGGCACACAAAGATAGATCAGGCTTCGAAGGTCCTTGGACACAGGACCCTTTAAAGTTTGATAACTCATACTTTGTGTAAGATTTCCCAAAGAACTCAACTACTTATTTTTCTCTTTTATTATTATGAATTGGAATAAAATGTCATAATACATAGCGTTTAATTATGTATTTATGACTAATTAGGGAGCTTATGAAAGGAGATACGGAGGGGCTATTGAAACTTCCCACAGACAAGGCTTTATTAGCGGATCCTGATTTCCGTCGCTATGTTGAACTTTATGCAAAGGTATTATGGTCCTCTATTATGCATAATTTTTTTTTTTTTTTTTAAACGATGGTGGTGCCAGACCTCTTAGAGCAATCATAATTTATCACCAGATACATGCAGTCCCCGTCCCACGTGCATCTGGAAATTACCGGAATCTATCTAGCCAATGCGTGTAGGGCTGAACAACTAATTATTTTGTGGCAGGATGAGGAAGCATTCTTTAGAGACTATGCAGCATCACACAAGAAACTTTCAGAGCTAGGGTTTACTCCGCCACGTACTTCGTGCTTCAAGCTAGGTGTAAAGAACCGTACAATACTGGCCCAAAGTGCTGCGGTGGTAGCTGTTGCCTTAGCTGTTGTGATCCTGAGTTACTTCTATGAATTTAACAGAAGATTCAAATAAAGAGGACAACACAGAAATTCACACATTTACGCAAAACAAACTTCAAATAGAAATCGCAACAACAATGCCCAGAAGTCCTGATTTAATTTGTTTATATATGTAAACAGACTGGTGGCCATAGAGGCTGTAGGTAGATGCAATTGAACTTCCCTTCCTAATATTCAACATGACCTCCCTATATAAATATCCCCTATATATATATATATATATTGCAATTTGCTGTTCTTGTACATGTGCAGTTGTTCCTGATTTCATTGATTCCAGTTATGGAATACAGTCAAATTTTCAGTTCTCCTAATCTAATGGGGTTGACTTACTGATAGACCTTATTGTCTCAATTCATAATCTTGTTTTCAGCTCCTATTATGCATCTGCCATCAGTAATTCAACACTTCTCGTGCTTTGAAGATGACAATACGATTATAGGAGTCCAAACAGTGTGGTCTGACAAGTATAAGAACTAATAATCATATTGAATACCTGTAATTGAACAACATTTGAGCTTCCACCACTCACTTTGCAACGTTTTCGTGTTCTGTGTACCAAAATATTCTCGAGTAAAATATGTAGAACAAGAACAATGAGATGAGAACTAGAACTAGAACTGTGTATTATAGATTTAATAACCCATACTAAACATTCTGGAATTGGAATTGGAAAAAGAAAAAAAGGTATACACAATCTGCAATGGCACATTGCACGAATCTACTGTAAGACCGACCATTTGAATAGGGTTTAAAATTGAAAGCACCAAGTATAGAAAACAAGAACAACTATGGTAGTTTGCAAATTACTCAGTGACATATATACTAAAACCAGGCTTCAGACTATGGCATTTGATAACTCTCTGCTTTGTCAAAGTCTTGCTGTCCCGAGCTTGATGACTCACCCATTGCAACAGGAGAAGCAGCTACTGTTTGGGATGACCTCCTCTTAAGAGAAGTTGGCATTCCAGAGATCTCCTGCAGAATGTTCAAGAAGCAAGAGTCAAGAGAGTACCAAAACAAGAAGAACAATGTTAAATTCCCCGAGTGATCAAACCAAATAGGTTAGACGTCTAATTAAGAGTTACAATGCTTATTGCATTTAAAATGTCAAAGCGGATTCTTACTTGAGATACCACATGACAAGAATTACATTCACATGGTTTTTATTTTTTATTTTTTATTTTTTTTATTTTTTACTTTTACCTTGCCAAGAAATACACCACACCCCTACTTACCCATACGGGAACTTAAACCCTCAACCTTCTACTTTGGAAGGTGAGGACGTACCTTGGTTTATGCTTTTGTTCTTGTAACAGAAGTCAAACAAGCATTAAGTAACATGGCTAACATGTCTCCATGGATTTCATTGATTATGTGATTTGTCGACCAGCCTAAGTCCAGTAGATGAACCCCAAGAAAGTTCATATTATAACTTTTTTTTTTGATAAGTAAGATAGTTCATATCATAACTTGCATGGAAACCTGTCAAAATGGCAACCAAGTTTGTTATGCTAGAATTCTCTCTCTATCAGATAATTTATCTAAATACATATAACTTTGGTCATTAAACACAAACCCACCCCATATTGTTACCTACTGCCAACCTCCTTGGTCATTGCTGCAATCCAAATCACTAATAAAGGAAAAACTTTGACAATTTTTTCTATGAATAGAACCAAAAAGAAAAATAAACATATAATTCCTAATCTTGTTAAAGAGAAAATTTAGCAGGAATATCCATAATACCTTCATCAAATGCAACCTCAAGTCACAAGGTCGAACTTGATTTCCAATACATGCCATCACAAATTTTGAATAGTGAAACAAAACATCAGCAGCAGCTTGTTTCCTTTCTCCAGTCTGCAGTTTCATTTTACTATTTATTATTAGAATGATGACAAAGACCCACAATACCAAGGAATTAGGTAAATTTTCTTACAATGGCGAAGCACTTACTCAAACCTGTCCAATACCAGTTAACACTTCCCGGTATATTAAATTTAATACCATGCAGAAGTATGAAGTTTAGAAGTGAAAAGTAATATTTCTTATATCATATAACATTTCAAATTTATAATGGCCAGTGTCCAAAGTGGATGACATATGCAATTCATTGTTTGAAAAGAAAAGGCCAAAAGTGCTGGCATCAAAGATAAAAAGAGAAGGAACTGCATGTGAGGAACACAAACTCAGAGAGCACATTAACAATTTACCATGCGCACACACGATGATATCTATTAAAATCCATAGACATATGCGCATAATCTCAGAGAGCACATTAACAATTTACCATGCACACACACGATGATATCTATTAAATTTCGTAGACATATATGCATAATCACAAATATATGACCTAAAAGCAAACAACTATCAAAGGTAATTTTCCCTTCCTGAATATGGTATAATCAAAGAAAACACATACACTCTCAAACAAATCCTAATTAAAATCTTCCCATTCGACCAACTAAACATGTTTTCCATTTCCTTCTTTTCTTTTTCCTAGGTAAAAGTTGTCCTACATTAAAAGTTCCCTAGCAGAAAGGGTAGGACTTTCTCCTTTTCATAGACATACTATGTTTTCTGCTTAAACCATTAACAGCTTTTCTAATTCAAAGTTCTAAATTATCAGGGAAATGGTTGTATTTCCTGCAGTAACTAGTATAAGGAAAAACTTAAACTCCAGAAATATGGTTAGGTATTATACAGAAGGGTGTGAAGAACTTTAAGAAGTTGATAACAAAGCATAGTGATGACCATGCTGGATAAGTTGCCGGATGAAACTGTCTAATTCCATACCTGAGACACTCAAATTTAGCAAAATACAAGAATTACACCACTCCACCAAAATGAAGAACACACGAATTGATAAATTATACTGGACAAACTTCTTGTATATGTGGATTATCAACTATTTTATCAGTGTTCATGTCACACAGTGCGACAAGACCCGTAAAGCTTGAAAACTTAGACTAGTCACCAGGAGAAATTGTGGGCCCAAGCCGCCCAAGGAGGGAAGGCAAAGAGTTATCTGAAACTATTGGTGCTTTTGCTTCTACAGAAAAACCAGCTTCAGGTGTATTTCACCCCTATGAGCAACATCAATTTGATGACATTAATTTGACAAGCAACCAACAATAGCAGACAATCAACAGAAATGCAAGATAAATGTGGTGCAAACCCTCAAGGGAATGAGAAAAAGGAAAGAATATAAAAATTAAAAGCTTATGTATCACATTGTTATGGTTTTCATGTAGTGTACTGCAACTAAATAAAACGATGATATTAAGCACATTCGAGTGGAACTTTTGTAACAGACAATGGGAATCCAAAGGTTCAGAACTATTAACAACCAAACAGAGCTATTAATAAAAAGAATACGATATCACTAATTGCATGGAATATAGGACTTCCAAACATTATAGTTGAATTTAACTCCAAAATACACTCATCCCTATATAGCTAACGTGGAGGATTTTCAAGTGTTCCTCAGAAATCCATGGGACTGCAATCACCAATACACCCTAAGGGAGGGAAAGAAGTGTGCAGATTAGTTGGCAAGTGATGCTCACTCCATTTCCGAAAAACAACACATTTGGCAAATTCAACATCAATATGACAAACATTTCTCTCTCTCTCTAAGGATGAAGACTTGCTGAGCTGCAGTCCCCGCGGAATCACAACAAAATTCCAAACTTTATACCCTCAAACTTTATGCATCCAGACGAAAAAATCGACATTACAGTAGTAACAAAGGTTATCATATGTAGTATCAAATTACGCCAAGAAATCTACAAAAAAACATTATAGCTACAAGATGACATAAAAGACCAATGTGCTAAAAAAAAAACCCATAATTAATTAGAAAAAGTTTTCCCACACACTGCGGACATTTAAAGTATTGTCAATTGTTTCGAATATCACCAAACTGCCTATAATCATTAACAACATCTAGGATTATATTCACAGACACACAGAGTAGACTCCAAATTTATTTTATGGGTTTCAATATATACAACAATTGAAAATGTTAAGAAGGTTTAGAATCAAATCCCATAGCGGATACTATATGATTTTGTCATTAGGGTTGTTGACAAACAAGTTGGGGGTGTTTATAGGGTTTGATTTTAAGAGAACTGAAAGAGAGAAAAGGAGGGTTGATTTAAAACGTAGTTTCTTGGGGGTTTGGATTGAATTTAACAACAACAACAATATAAATATATATATATATAAATAAGGAAGGGAATTTCCAGATTGCAAAAGTAAGTTGTGTGTATTACCTCGTAATCTTCTTTCATGGTGGGATGCGGAAACCCGGACGGTTCTGGTCCAACACCAAATCTCACCATCGTGTATCGAATAAACGAGTAGGTCTCTGTCTTCGGTGTAAGTTTTATAGTATCATTTTTTTTTTTTTTTTTTTTTTTTTAAATTTTAGGGTAAAGTGCATTAAATTCCCTTGAATTATTGGTCATTCGCAAAAACTCCTTCAATTACAAAAAACCCTCTGAATTATGATTTTGTTATAATTTACCCCTTTGAACTATTGGTCATTTGCAAGAAACCCCCCTAAATTACAAAAAACTCCCCTGAACTATAATTTTGTTGCAATTTACCCCACCGAACTGCGATTTTGTTGCAATTTACCCCCATGACATCAGCTTCCGGTACCGAAAATTTTGAAAGACCAGTTTACCCTTATAACACGTACACTGCGTCGTTTTACCTTATACACTTCTTACTTTTTTTTCTACCAAAAGATGCCTTTCACCCAACACAAACCAAAACTGAGAGCCAGAGAGAGAGAGAGAGAAGAAACCAAAGAAATGTGAGGTCGGCGGGATGGCTCAGTCTCGGATGATGGCGGCTTGTGCGCGGAGGACTCGGCTATGATGAGAGCTCGGTTGACTTGGCCGTGAATTGTGGAGGCGACGGTGAGCTCAAGGGGGCTCGGCGGTGAACTGTGGACAGCTGTGTGCTCGAAACACAGATGGCGATGTGCTCGGCTATGGAGATGGTGGAATGGGCTGGCAAGATTGGAATAGACGGTGGAATGGATCGGCGAGCAAGGTGAGCTGAACGGCGGGCAAGGTAGTGACAGCTATGGACTGACGCAACGGTGCAGAGAAGGGCGATATATATGGCCGACGGATTTGGCTAGTGGTGCAACGGCTATGATGGAGCTATGATAGGAGATCCACCGATCCCAGCAACAAATTCCTCGGCTTCATCGTCCCTTTCAGTCAATCAATTCGCGTGGATGGGGTAAACTGTAAAAAAAATATATAGTTCGTAGGGGTTTTTTGCACATACTCCAATAGTTCAGGGGGTTTTTTTGCAACTTTTATAATTCAGGGAGGTTTCTTGCACATACCCCAATAGTTCAAGGGTTTTTTTTACGATTTTTATAATTCAAGGGGGTTTCTTGCACATACCCCAATAGTTCAGGGGGATTTAACGCACTTTACCCTTAATTTAATTTTTTTATTATTATTATTTTTTATTATCATTATTATTATTATTTTTTTACATTGCTATTGTTTGCATTATTTGCTGAATAGTAAATTGCTATTTTGTTAATAATAATAACAAATTGGTATTATTTGCTACAAATTGGTATTATAATAATAAAAATAAATTTGTATTATTTGTTTTCAATTAATTAATTTATTTTTAATGAGAAATTTTACAAATACTGTACTCGAGGTCTCTCAGTTATTAAATCATCTTTCAGCTTTACCGTCAAATTCAATAACCAAGAGACCCAGGAGTACAATACCCCGATTTAGTTGGACATAACAATGGACTATAACAATTCACGGTTCAATTTAGTTGAAAAAATCAGTGTAACGTTTCTTGGTGCACCAATCAAAACAAAAATCGTATGTTCCAAACAAGTAAAAAATTACCAATTAAAAGTTATGAACTCTGCGCTAAATCGTGGAAAATAGTTACTCAAAAATAATTTTGATACAATATTAATCCACAATTCAGTTGATTAGAGGTTGGTCAGTTGGTCATGAGCCAAATTGGCCAAAAGATATTTGTTTTTAGGGTAGTGATAGATGGGTTGATGATTTTAATAGATGAGTTTGACAGATTACACATGCCAGTATGGTAAGCAATTTTAAAAATTAAAAAAAGGAAAGAAAATAAAAAGAGAAACAATATACGTGTCCGCAGATTTATCTTTCTCAAACTGTCAAGTGTTTCATCACGTCAAATAATATTTCTTACCATCTTATATTATCATATATCATATTCATATATATTTATATATATTGTATCATATGTGTAATTTTTTTTTTTTTTTTGGAAGGTAAATATGTATAGTTATTTGTTTGATTATATTGTTCTTCGTAGTCTATAAATTTTTTTTTAAAGAGATATTAGAGAGAGAAATACAATGAGAAATAAAAAGAAAGGAGAGAAGAGATGAGAGAAAAAGTGATGAAAGTGGCCTAACTGAAAGCGTGATTACTTTTGTCTTTTAATTTAAATGAGATCATTGACATTGCAAATGACAATACTCTGCCTCAGTGGCTTTTCTTCTCCCTAAACAAATAAAATCCTTCTAAAGAACGGGATGCATATCCAACCAGAAAGCATATCCAACCAGATTAATAAATACTGAACATAAGGACAAAGACATCCATGTTACAAGCATTTTGTTGATCATGGATAAAAGTAACCATAGTGCTTAATTGGTAGAACGCACTGCCTCGTGTGCGCGGGTGTGTCAATGTTCGAATCCCCCTCCCTAATTTGCTAAAATTAGAAAAAAGAAAAGAAAGGAAGGTAATAGCACCCATCTAGCATGGTTCAACTAACACCCAGAGAATCCCTTGGATAGAAGAACAAGAAATATTCCAAATACTTCTCTCTTAATTCCTTCTTTTGCTTTCGCCTTTCTTTCCCATTAAATCTCCTCCCTCCCTCCATCCTCTTAGGGTTTGGGTTTGAGGACTACATATACAGGAAGAGAGTTTGAATCCAACATGAGCCCCTGCTTAAAAAACAAAGAAGAAAGAAGAAAATACTTCCTATCTATTAATCAATATCCTGTTAACTTTGACTGGATTTAGAAAACAACTAAAAAACAATTTGTAGAGATTCAGCCACTACCATGGGAAGGTATTAGAGTCTAAAAATCTTAAATACTCAGTACAATGCTTAGTGATTATTATTATTATCCATACCAAACCAATATATGCCTTCGACAGAACAGTACTTTGACTCGATATCTCAAGAAACTTTCGAGCTAGAGAAACATCAATGGACGAAACGAAAGAAACAAATTATGTTTCTTTGGCAGGGCCCTTCTTTGCAGCCTCAGCAGCTGCTTTCTCTGCTTCAATTTCGGCAACAACAGCATCAATTTCAGCTTCATCTAGTTGCCGCAGACCATGATCCTTTGTCATCACACCAACTTCTATGTTCTTGCCCCCACTCTCAACAACCTAAATGTAAGATAATCAAGTGTGAGATTTTGTGCAACAAAGATATTTTAACCAAAAGTTTTCAACATCATTCTAATATACTTGACTAATTGCCTCATGTGGCCGGTGCTTCTGGTTTCATGCCGAAAGTCGTTGAATGAGAATATCAAGATAAAGTTAGTTACCCCCACCCCCCCCAAAAAAAAAAAGTAAGGAGACGAGGAGGATATTAAGCATTCATTTTCATTTTCATTTTCATTTTCCTTTTTGATTTTTTTCCCCCCTTTTTTTTTTTTTGGGATAACTATTAACCATCCCCTAAACTATGGCCTAAGGTACGATGCCTAAACTAAGAAACAAAACATGTTCCACCTTTGAGTTAACTCATTTAGATAATCATGACGGAAAACATGAGTCCCATTTAACCCATACTAGAAATGTTGATTGCAAAGGCAAGAAGCATATATTATTCAATATCTCAAGTGCCCTAACTTGGTGTTTTATATATATATATTGCTAAGTTAATGTGTCATTGCTTGATGCACCAGTAAAATGCTCAAGCTATCAAGTGTGAGAACACGGGTTCAAATCCTAAGATCAGACACTTTTGTGAAAAAAAAAATTAAGTGCCTCATCCAAAAATTTCCAAAACTCGAACATTTCAACCTTCAATTTGAAATCATATCCACAATTGATGCCATATGCTGTAATCATATCCTAGAAAACTAAACAGGTTACTAATGAACAGTAACATGTAAATGTAACAAAGTATATGGCAAAAAAATAGATTGGGGAAATTATACCAGAAGTAGAGAGACTGTGAACAAGAAAGGCAAGCAAAAGAAGACCAATTTGCAAATAAAGAAATGAATAAACTGATTCTTACTTCAAGCAGCGCACGAATTGCAAGCTTCACAGTTTCTTGTCCAGAAGTTTCTTTGTAATTTTTCTCCAGAAATTCCCGCATTGAGTTAGAGTTTCTCCCTGTCGCATTAGCTTTCCACGCAGAGAATGTACCGGATGGATCTGTCTGATATAGTGATGGTACACCAGTGTATGGATCAAAGCCAACAATCAATGTTGAAAGACCAAATGGTCTCACACCACCACTCTGTGTGTACTTTTGTTGAATGCCAGCTATGTAACGTGTAATATACTCAACAGTTACTGGATCCTCAACTGTAAGCCTGTGGCTTTGACATTCAATTCGTGCCCTGTTTATAAGGACACGGGCATCTGCTTTGAGCCCAGCGCATGCCAGTGCAATGTGATCATCCAGGCTCACAATCTTCCTGACTGATCTGCAAAACAGAGGCAGAAAAACAATTGCAAAACAATCCCAGAAAGGATCAAAGATAGAAGAACGCATCAAAAGGGAAAAAGGATTGCAAGCATAACCATCGTAAGATTACTTTTTCAGAAATAGTAAATAATATTTGATAGCTGGCTCGGTCACAGACAGGTTTATTGGGGACAGGATCTATAATAAAGCGTCATGGAGAATGAAAGGTGGCACCCTCCTTCGTTAGGCATTCACTTAGGCTCCTATACAACGTCGGATACTTTAACACACCTACCACACTCCTATTCATCCCATGTTAATTTTGGTTACCTTCTATATCTCTTACAACAAAACAAAAAGCCTTTTTCCCAATTACTTGGGTCGGCTACCTTCTATATCTCTTACTACAATAAAAGTTACTCTCTTTTTCTGACTAGTGCATATATGAGTCTATGTTGTATATGTCAAATTTTTATTTTTTATTTTTTTGTTAAGTCTATGCTGTATATGTCCATACCACATGAATCTACTATTTTTTATTTTTATTTTGTAGACGTCACTCCTAAATTCTCCCTCACGTGTTGACTATTAACCCATCTTTTTGTGTCACTCCTACCGTTCGTCTTGAATCTTGATACTCTCATTTCAGTTATGTGAATATATACGTTCTTATTTCTGCCACACGCACACATCAAGACCAAGATAACATAGAATTTGCTCTGCTAGTGAGTTCCTTAGATAATAAATTTGGTAAGTGAATTGTATAACAATGAAGGAACAACAAATAAATCAGAGATCCATGAGGGTTTGCTTGTCTGGTGAGAATTCATCTGCCCATTATGTTTCTACATTATGATTTAGGTTGACTCGTCAAGTTTCATGTTATTTGTGGCATTTGAATGAGCTAATAGTTTCCCAAAATAATTTTAAATAATGGCACTTTTTCTGATTTAACATTTGAACGAGCTAATAATTTTCCAAAAGTATGATTTAGTTTTACTATTATCTTATACAATTTCATTTACAAGTCCAGATAAAAACTACTACTACAAGTCTCCAACATTTGTTTGTGATAAGTTGCCACTAAGACCTTATGTCTAGCTCAATCTCTATGAGATGTCCATGTCCAACCCTAGGTCACATAATTCTTTTAAAACAGTGTCGCTCTCACGCGCTGAGCGTGCTCCCCCACTACGTACATAACTTAGATTTTGGTGCTTTCGTACTTACGCTCCCGTTCCGTGTGGCTTAGGTCCAACCTCCCTCAAAGGGGCTACTGCATGATGTCAATATTATCAATTCCCAATTTTAGAGTGCACTCCCAGGCCTTATGTTCGTGAAGATTGAAGACTCAACCCACTAGATTTAGCCAAACACGAGCTTGTGAAATTTCAATGATCAATTCTATATGACATTACCGGTACTGGATGTACATACCAAGATCAAAAAATGCAGATATATTGATGAAAACATCAACAAATATCAGATCCAAGTTTCTCTTCTTTGTTTTTTTTTCAAATGTCGATCAACAAACATGTCAGAGTTATATATATAAACCCAAATCTAATTTGCAATCAGTTATAACCTCAATTATGAGCTATACAAGGGACGATCAAAACAAGTATATATATATAGGTGAGAGAGTACCTCGAGTCTTGAAGTTTGACGGTGGACTTCTTCTCGACGCCAAGAACGATGGTGTCAGAGCCACGGACGCCGACGGCAGCATTGCCCTTCCGGACGGCTTCAAGGGCGTACTCCACCTGGAAGAGGTGGCCGTCCGGTGAGAACACTGTAATTGCCCTATCGTAACGAGCCATTTTTTTTTTTTTTCCTCAGATTTTATTTGATTTTCTAATCAGTTCAACTAAAATAGTTCTGGTAACAGCTGATCAACTTATCGTAGAGGACAAGTCAGTCAAACGTAGACCATTTAGTGATCAGGTGCGCATTGTTTTTGTCTACAATCTTCTGTTGCCCCTAATAAGATACGAACACGTCATCAACTTTTTTTCCTTCCTTTTTTTTTTTTTTTTTTTTTTCTTTTTTTATTTTTTTATTTTTTATCACATCATCATGGTTATTTTGCCTATAATTCAATGGATGGATTGGATCATTGTAGACATAAATATTTTTTTTTCTTTGTTAATTTCTATTATTCTTTTCTTTAATTTTTAAAAATAATTTTTAATTTATTTCATTCAATGCAAGTTTTTGTGGATTTTTTTTATTTATCTTTTAAGCAAATAAGTGCAAGATGATGTTATCCTACTTTCGAAAAAATTGCACATATAAAAGAGTGAATATGCAGCGGCCTAGGAAGTACGAATACTTCTTTAAACGTGCCATGGCGAAATCGAAATATCCTGAATAGTGAATAATTTATTTTTTGATGAGATACGGTTGAAACATGACATGGACACGGTAATAATACATTTTGGACACTTCTAATATGTGGGATTATTTTGTAACTATTTTTAAAAAATAAGATAAAATTCAATGTAATTTAAAATATATTATGAATTAATAAAAAATAATATAAAATTTTTAAAAGCAAAAGTGGCATACATCTGATTCTAAACTCTAAATTAATAATTTATTTATAACTATATAGATAAAATGACAAAAAAAATATTATTTATATATATAATATATTATAAGAATATATATATATATATTTTTGACCTATTTATTATTTTATTTTTTTATAAATTTGTCGTATATCTATCTTGTTGTTCTTGTTGGGTGTCATTTCAAGAGACATTCTGCTCCATGCAATATATTATATATCTGATCCTATAGAATTTTTTATATATATATATTTTTTGCAGTCAGTAAAAAGTGGCCTAATTGCTTGCATCCCCGGTTTCTTCTTCCTTGCTTTTCTTGGGTCAGCACAAACACAACAATGCATTGCTCGTTTAGTAACTTGCTGGGGTGAGTATATGTGCTGCCTATATTTTTCTCTATATATGATCAGTTTTTGTTGTATTATTTGGGCTCATAATTCATATTTATACTAACATCTTGTATATATAATTGCACGCCAACTACACAAAAGCATGATATTTGTATCAATTTCATTGTCAAATTAGCTCTAGCAAATGGCACACAAGCTGTTCACCTTAATGCCTACACGATGATGAAAACTTCAAGTACCTGTTGATCAAGAACTCACCAAGGTTTCAGCAAAATTTGGGAAGGGATCTTTTTTCTTACTTCAATTTCATACTAGCTATGTCAATTATATATATATATATATATATATTAGACGTATACATCTATTTATTTAGAGTAAACAAAATCATGTACTGCAAAGCCTCAAATCTGTGGTGTGTGTCCATTCGACTTACGTGCAAGTACATTACTTTATTAGTTTATTACATCTCAACATGATCTACCACCAACCCACTTCTTTAGATTTAATGCTACATTGTTCATGCATTGCTACTCATTGATACCCTAGTTAGTATATATACAAAATGATGGTGGTCGCTTCCGAACTACATGACATGGAAAACCATAACTCCAAAAAAAAGTTCTAGTATTATGCTATAAGTTGCCTTTCCTTGATCTCTATTAACTCTAATCCAAACTCTGCATTGTGTGGTGATGCTGTTGATGCTTTCTGTAGAAATTAGGCCGTTCTCTTTGTTAGTGAAAGTATTGTGGATACCATTTGCTTGCAGTTAATCGGCTTTGTTAGGTAAGCATCCATACCCACCTCCAAGCATTTGGCTTCATCGGATGACATAGCATGGGCTGTCAGTGCGACAATTGGGATGTGTGATCCAGTTTCCAATTCAAATTTCCTGATTGCCTTGGTTGCCTCATAACCATCCATCTTTGGCATCTGGTTTGACAAAAAGAAAGGTTAGAAGCTACACATACAGCTGATTTCATGTAGTAAAATTTTCTGTTTCTTAGAATTGTAGGGTGCTCAATCTTGGAAGTAACATACATGCACTATGGTTAAAAGCATTTTAGAGATTTGTTCTCCTTTTTTCATTATATCTTATCCTTGAATAGAAAGTCTGTAGTTTTGGGGAAAATACAGGGTTGGTAGTGGGATAAGGATGTCCAATCAGTAATGAAAACCAAAATGGAGTGTTACAACATTTTGCAAAAAAAAAAAAAAAAACCTAAATTTAAGGAAAATTTTGAAAATATAAATTTGCAAAGAACAAAGTTAAAGGAGAAGAAATATAGAGTTTTTAATCATATTAAGCACATTAATAAGAGTAAGGATTTAGGGGGTCTTGGTGAAAAATGATGAAACTAGAGAAAGGTGAAAAGATTACTTTGAGAAGTTATTGAATCAAAATTATGTTGGAAGTGTAGGCTTAGAAGCATATGGTAACCTTAGGGAGATTAGAGGAATTTATTATTATTATTATTATTATTTTCATAGGATCAGTATGTGAATGAAAAACTGCAGTGAGACGAAATCTAGGAATGTTTTAAGACTTGGTGATTATTCTATTAAGGCACAAAAATGTTTAGGAGATGAGACATCTCCTGAAAGTGTGATTGAACAGAAAGAAATATTGGAACAACAATATAGGAAAATTAATTTAAATGTATGTCGGGGACTTTGACTGGAAGCTAACAAATGACGGCGAGACTAATGGAATGATATAGAAAGAGGAAAATAAAAAGAGGAAGAATGAGATTCATATGACTCTTTTGGATTTGGAAAAAGCTTGTAATATAATCCTTAAAGGCATACTATGGTGGTTTTAAAAATAGAAATGAGTCACAAAAAGATATATTAACTTGATAAAGGACATGCACGATGGAGCTGTTACCACAAGAGGGCAACTAAAACAAAACAAAGTGATTTTTTAATTTTTTTTGGCTTACATTTAGATCAACAGCTTGTAATATAATTATTTATTGAGTTGAGTTGATAAGCTATGATAACGAAAGCACATTAAAAATCCTACATCAAGCATTGATGTTTTCTTTTCTGCACTTCTAATAATTATTTATAAAAAAGGAAGGCACAAAAGCATTGAAAACTTATGCAGTTTCTTCTAATATATACCTGACAATCCATTAGGATCAAGTCGTATGGTGGGGAATCACATATTTCTGTCAGGGTTTCTGCATTCCCATCTTCCGGGGAAGATCCCTTTCTACACTCGTCTGCACTAAGCATTAAGTTTAAAGCATTCACTGCCTGCAGTCCATCTCCCACTGCCACAACTCTTGCCCCCATTTTTTCCAGCATTATGGTTGCAACTCTTTGGAGTACTGGTGTGTCTTCTGCCAATAGTATGCGTATGCCTTCAAGAGATTTCTGTTCATTAACAGGCTTAGCTGAATATAAACTGCCTTGCTCTTCAGGACAACTGCTGGTCAATTGTTGTTCACGGCATCTTGAATTGACTTGCAATGTGAGTCTCATTTGACCTGGGTCATTTGTACTCAAATCATTTTCTTTTATATTTACTTGACTAGGCTCCATATATCCATTGTTGACTGCCCCATACGGTGAGAGAGAGAATTTAGTGAAGTTTTCTCTTTGCTTTTCTCCGGTATGAAATGCACTTGTAGGATTATAACTTTCCATTTCCGACTTGACAGAATCATCAGAGCTGGCAGCATCAAACGGACTGAAATCAATTTCAAGACATTCATGTGAATCACCCTCAACTTCTGTAGAACTTGAAGTATTCATTTTCTTATGCAGCTCAAGATTTCTCTCCCTTATGGCTGCTTCCAAAATCTGAATCAATTTTGCCTTGTAGAGTGGTCTGTTGACCATCAAAAAATGCCCTTTCCTACGCAGCTCCATCTTAATGACATTGGAGGTATCATGGTTTAGTATCCATGCAAACTGCATTTTCCCATGGTATTTTTCCAGGATATTGAGCTGTTCCTTCCATATATCTGTGCTTAAGTCAAGTAGTAAAATGTCAGTAACTACTACAAAAACTGAGTCCGTTGTGTCTTGTATATCTAATGTTTCAGATTTTGAACATTCACTTGGTGAACTTTGTGAAGAGGTTTTGGCTTGAAAGAGTTCCTGAAGCATTTGAATCAGTTCATTCCACTCAGATGCCTCCCAGGTGAGCATGCCATTCTTCTGTAACCACTGGGACATAGTAAATCTAGCCATTTTGCCACTAAGTGCAAGAAGTACCTGCATTTAAATTTAAAACATATAAATTGTTGCTGTTTCTTTGATGAGTTGGAACTGATAAAAAATATGTTTTTTTTTTTTTTTTTTTTTTTTTTTTTTTTTTTTTTTTTTTTTTTTTTTTCCACTCAAGCTGAACATGAATTTTTACAGTATTCACCATGAGTAGTGTTGTTCCTCCATGAAAAGTATGAAGTATGCGACCCCTTGGAAAAACTGGGATAAGATTGAGCCCAAAAGATCCCAATTCAAGATAAATGCACGAGGAAGTGGTATCTCTTTAGGATCTATGCAAGTGTTTAGAACCTTGACGTGGTGAAAGTCATCAGTTTGAGCCTGATTTTTCCCAAACCCAATGTGGGTTTTCTATTTTGACTTGCTCCCCCGCCTTGATTGAATAAGAATGGATGAGAGGCTCGGGTGATTGACGTGAGGGGGCTGGGATGGCTATATTCTAGGAGCAAACTCCAGGCGAATATGAAGCGCATGAACACAAGTTATGCCTTGGAATGAAAGACAATTCCTAATCCGCTTTGTCTACGAACAAGAGGTCTATGGGATCATATCAATGTGAGTCCCTATTTTTACTCTTGCATTAGGAACCACAATAGGTGTGCTAGTAATAGTTTGGTTAGAAAGAGAAATATTTACAGAATACAATGTATTGGACTGTGTACAAATCTGTATGCTTCTACTTGTAGAGGGAGGGAGGTCACTGCATAATCCTCATGTTCATTATGCTTAGCATATCTATTTCCTGACCTGTTGATTGACAACCTGGCCGCAGAATCTAAAATTTGCAAAAATAGTTAAAGATTGTATGTGCATTGTAGTTGCAGGTGTCATTAATATAAAATATTTTCTATGTATTATATATAATACACCCAACAAAACATTGTATAGTTCTTGTTAATGGTAAATATTAGGGGATTTAATTAAACCTTTCTGGTGAAAAAGTAATGGTATGGGAAGAAAGTAACTTTACTCACCTTCAAGCTGTGTTCTGCAAATTTTAATTGACAATGCTGTCCCGTGCTATCTACAGGTGTGCTGAGAAGTAAACGCAGCTGCATTAGAGTTCCTGGGCCATTCTTTCTTACAACTTTTATTTCTCCACCCATCTTATTAACCTGTCCCGTCATGAGATAGAATAAGCAGATCCAAGAATGAGGTGCAATATAAAATCAGGAAATAAATTGGTTGATCCTTTCTTTTTTAATCTTTTAGAAATATTTCATTGTCATGCATTTATTGCAGATAGTATAATATGAGTGATTTAACTATACATAACAACTTAGGGAAGAAAAAAAACCATACATAACACGCACTCGAGTTCTTTGTGATGTTTGTAAATATATAGGTATTTATATGGCATTATAGGAAAAGAAAAACTAAAAGAAACTAGCAGCCTTTGAAAAATTTGGCAATCTGATTAAATTAATAAATACAGCGAGATCTCTTAAGGTTACTGGAGTGTGGCTCTCCTCCAACAGAATGCTGAATGTACCACAAAAGCAAGGTTCTGTGGTTTTTTCCTGCTACCTGAATTGAGAGTCTGAGACAATGTCTCCTTACATATCTGGCTATCTGTGTTCTCATGATGATAAAATTATGAACTTGAATTTCTGAGAATTTATATCATTACATATCTTGCTATCTGTCTTCTCATGATGATAAAATTATACACTTGAATTCTTTCACTCACCAAGGTTCGTACAATGCATAGGCCAAGACCAGTGCCACCGTGCCTGAAAATAATAAAAGATTTTTCAGGAACACTATCTGAATAACATTTGGGATCATTGACAAATTCGGATACACAGATACTGTCTTTATCAATAGCAGATGAACAATAACATTATGATAGATAACATTTTTAAACTTTTGATTGTCAAATATTAACCAATGGACTTACGTTCTAGTTGTTGAAGGATCGGCTTGCTCAAAGCTTTCAAATACAGACTCCCATTTGCTTGGATCAATCCCTATAAAAGAAAACCAACAAAACGGAAGAATAAATTATATGTAGTTTTTAAAAACAGAATGTATGATGGGCTAGATGGTTAAGAGTTCTTTATGTAGCTCTGTGTAGCAGTAGCTTCCTACCACAACCAGTGTCTTCAACTTCAAACCAAAGAATCACTTTCTTGTCGTTCTTGCAGGATCTCTTTGCATGGTTCCTGTGTTGCTTCAACTTCAATTTTGGCGAAGACCATGATTCCTTCTGATTGAGTGGGAACTTCCTGGTATCACTGAAAGAATTTGGATCCTCACACCATCCTCGCAGTATGATGTATCCCGCTGTAAGCCATTTGAGAGTTTTAATTTTCCAAGCTTACAACTAAAGAAAGTTTATTCACTTAGGCACTAGTTTGGTTTCACATTGTAATATAGGTTGTTGCTTCATGCTTTTACTATTTCCGTTTATTATCCTCTAAGTTTGGCAAGAATATGTGAATTGAAATCTCTATCTATGAGTGCATTTACAAACTAGATCATGTTCTAGTGTAGTTAAAAATTTGGTCTAGATTATCAAGGACTAATTTGAAAAATTCAAAAATTGAATAAGTTTGCCTTTTGAGCAATGATTCTATTATCTAGAGTCACCTGCTTTTGTCCTATTTCTTTAATTAGGATACTGTTAAGTTGTATATAGGCGTCAAATCATAAAACTATTTACACTTGCTTCTTCAATCTGTAAGACAAAAATTAGCCTAAATTTGGAATTGTGAAAAACTTGGAAGTTTAGCAACATGGAAAGTTGTGAATCTATTTTTTATAGATTATAAATCTACTAGATAAATTAGAATGGGAGTGAAATGTCCCCAAAAATGAAATGCATCTTAAAACTAAAACACAAGCATGAATGAGAAAACCTAAAGTAAAGATGATCTAGATTGTTATGTAGCATCCCTCTTCTAACCCATCTTTTCAAAGGAGTAAATAACAGAATTCCATTTTTTAGGTCTTCTTTTATCTTCAGCCTAGTGCTTGTGTTAAACCAACAGATGTGGCCATTGATGTTAGGCAAGGGGATAGGTATGAAGGCGGTTAATATATAAACAACACTTCTGCTAATGAATTCTTTTGTTCTACTCTAAAATTCTATGCTGTTGACTTTGGTAACTAATATTATCGGACTATTTCTTTCTGTTCCCTCGACATATATGATGACTCTTAGCTTCATCAATATTCAAGCTGCTATATAGATCTTGAAGATTTGGCAATGGGAAGGTTGCACTTACATGTTGTAAACTTGATAGAGTTGTTAATTAGGTTTGCAAATATTTGAACAACTCTGCCAGAGTCTCCTTGAACTAATTTTGGCATGTCATCTGCAAAAGAAAGATTTAATCGATAATATGCATTAGAAAATTAGAGGTTGATAATATAGAATTTAACTGTCAAGCTTAGATCATTGCATTAATTATAAGAAGTGATGTGGGAGGACTCATATGGTGAAGCTTATGATCATACCTGATAGATCTAGAACGGTCTCAACATTATGGTTTATGCATTGCACAGAGAACATATCAAAAAGTCCTTCAAGTTCTCGCCCCAAGTCAAATTCAGCTTCTTCCAAAACCAGCTTTCCAGATTCAACCTGTATAAGGTTTTCATAGATAGTGTGAAAATGATTTTCCTAATGAACTTGCAGTGTCTTGTATGAAAGATAGTATAGGATTTTTGGGGTTTTTCCTGCTCAAAAAAATTGATCATATTATTGTAACAAATAGAGTTTAGTGCCAAACTCCTCAATGAACAATTGAACATCAGTTTTATTTCAATAACGTGGTTATCAATTTAGTGTGGTTCTAAAACTTTAAAAAAAAAACTGTAGGTTGTAAGCTGTTGAACTTAAGGTAGAAGGTAGTTGACTTATTCTCTCTCATAGATTGTAAACTAAATATTCTATTTTGTACTTTGGGACTTATTCTCTCTCATAGATTGTAAACTAAATATTCTATTTTGTACTTTGGGACTTATTCTCTCTCATAGATTGTAAACTAAATATTCTATTTTGTACTTTGGCATTAATTGCTTAATGTATTCTGTTATTTTTTCATATAACCACCAGTTTCGTTTCTTCTTTTCTGGTAAAACTGCTCTATAAATGAAGTATTTTATTTGTCTCTATGTCTCACCTTACTGAGATCCAGAATGTTGTTGAGAAGCCGAAGTAAAGCAGTTGAGCATTTTCGAATCTGGGTAATTGTTCCATATTGCTCGTTTGTGAGACAATCATCACATATAAGGATGTCCAGCAACCCAATAACTGCAGCCATAGGTGTTCGCAATTCATGACTGTTCCACAACAGAAAACATCATTTTGGACTTGAATAATGGCATCTTTTAAATTTAAAATGGGATAGTTTAATGCACTTAACAGCTGGTGTAAAGCTATGGAAAATCCTCATGTGTGACTCTTGAAGTTGCTTGACATACAAAGCAACAATTTAATGAGATGAAGAACACATGAAAATGACATGGGAAGAGTAGTACTGCACATACACCACCAGAGTCTTGACAGAACCCCTCTACACGACCAGAGTCTTGGAAGAACCCCTCTAACTAGTAGGAGCGTAAAATTAGTTGATTGTGAGGAGTCATAAGTCATAGGCAAAGGAGTCACAACATGATTTGAAGGGACAAGTAACTGTTATTGCATAAGTACTAAATAAAGTATGAATGATTTATCAGTTTAAGGAATGTAAAAGGTCTATATTAGCATATAGGCAATTACGGGCATCCATTTGTAAAAGAAAAACTCATATCGGACTCCAGTGAATCATCTCTGTCCTATATTTGCTTTTACTAACTCAGTTTATTGCTCTGACAAATTCAATAGTAACTTGCACCAGTTGAGTAGCCTTAACATATTGAACTAAACATCAAGGAGGCAAGAAGATAGGATTCTCATTCAAATATATGAATATGTCTGAAATTACATGATATACTATGTGGACAGCAACCAAGATGGACATGGTCTGTGTAGACTTCTTATTGCAAGTTTAAAACTTTGACACACTATGGTGCGATTTACTATGTAAATAGCCTAAGCATGTGAAAGTAAATTTTGTTGAATATGTGAAGAAAAGAGTGGAGCGTACAGAGTAATTAAAAATTATATATTAAACCATTTTTAAATCTCAACTAAAGTTACCAAAATTTCAAATTCAAATTTAAAAAGTGTACACTAAATCTTATTCAATCCATCAAGCTAATCAACATACCAATCAATTAGTTATAAATTAAAGCAGTAAAAAACATGAATAAGGACACCGGTATTACTTTCATGATAAGTCTGAATGGGAAAAATCATGGAACCTAGTCCAAGCAACCAAATCCACTACGAGAAAGAAGTTACAACCAGTTTAACAGTTTCCTAACCTAAGAACCCCTTGCCCTAGCCACCTCTTAAAAAAATATGTCTCGCTATATGCATTCTGTGTATAGGATTTGCCTTTAGCAGTGTATTTATAGGCAAAACAATGATGCAGAGAGAATAGGTTTTTAAGTGTTTTGAGTATCGACTGATTGAAGTACTGTGCAGTTCTGTACTTAGAAGAATTTTAGAAAAGGTAGTTTCCAAAACACTTTATATGCATATTAACTAGGATTTTCCAAATTATTTTATAAAATCTCAAAATCCTGATATATAAATGCATGAACAACAATTTAGTTGAGTGCATAGAGATGTCAAATTACTTTTATACCCTTGGTGTAGAAGACTAAGAGGTAACTACCAAAGCTAACTTTTAAAAATTATAAGTAACTAAAGCCAAGCTGTCCTAATTGACGCAATAGGGAGTGTATAGTTATTTCACTATATATCAATCTAGAACTAAACATCATAAAATATACCATTTGTCGATATAATATTGAATTTGAAATGGTACTTACCTCATGTTTGCTAAAAACTGGCTTTTATAGTTGCTTGATGCTTCTGCCTTTCTTCTTGCATCTAGCTGGCTTATCAACTCTGCTCTTAGTTTCATTTCCTTTGACACTCCGTTTGTCAATATGAAAATGCAGATACACCCAATGACTAGTATACACACAGATGCAGAAATCAACGTAACCAATGTTTTGAAGGCTCTCTCATCTACCTTCCCCATTATATATTTTCTTGGAATGATGATAACTCCCACCTGTCAAAGTGTTCTTAAAATTCTTGCTATATCTAAAAAATTTATTATAAATACAAGCTAAACAAACAAGAAAGTACTCAGGAAAAAAAAAAAACAAGAAGAAAGGAAAGTATTGTAGATTCTTTCTTAGTGTTTTAGGCTTTAACAAAAAAAAAGATACGTAGCAGTAATCTTTTAAGTAAACTCTTCAACCTAGACTCCAACACCTCAGACTCAAATTCTTAAAACTAAGAGGTATAATATAGTTAAAACTTACCATGGGAAGTCTTCTTAAATTTAGGAAAAATGAATCGATGTAATAGAGCTGGTGTCCGAGCCTGGCGTTTTCAATGTGAACCTCATGTTCTTGCGGAAACTTGTTGCCATAGACTCTCTGTAACCACTCGGCCCCCAGTCGTATTACATGATCTTCAGAATTGACAGCCATCATAAGGTTGGGTCCCTTTGTTGAATTCATTAAGAGAGGAGTATTTGAGGAAGTAGCGAGCAACCAACCCTCCTGAGATGTTAGATAAATATGTCCACTGTGGAACTCAACAAGTTCTTTCATCAACTGACCTACACTATAAAGTGCTGTAGTAACACCAACAACGGCCACTATTTCATCAGAAGGGTCCCGGACAGGCAATGCCGCTGAAAGCAATGGTGAATCCGTGTACTTGCTTACTGCTACATGCCATGAAGCTGCACCATCAGGCACTTGTGAAAGGCCTGCAATGTAGATCAGATCATCTGGTGGGATTTTCTTTGGTTTCCCCGTCTTTGCACCAGTGACAGGATCGAGTGGTTCTCGGTACCAAATGGCAGAGATATTACTACGTATGGATTGATCATTCCACCCTTGATGAGAGGATAGCTCGTTGACATCATAAGACCCACTGATTGAATAGTTGACAAGATCAGAGTAAATATAGAATGTATTGTTACTCCGGTGATCTCTATGGAAGGCCTGGACAAAACCATTTCTGTAGCTTATTGTTATTGAATTGAGAGCTTTACGACTTGCAAATAGTGCCCAGGTTACATCTCTCATTACTTCATATAGCTGCTAAGGTTCAAAAAGTTAAAATGTTACTAAAGAAACAATAATTCCTTGCAGTTTACAAAATAATTTTCAGCATTTACCACTTTGAGAACAGAAAGAATGATTAACAACAACCTCAACTTGCTGTGCTTGATTAACAGGCTTGCTATACCGTTTGATTACATACTCCGACAGCTTGACTTGAGCCGTTGTTATTTCAACTGTGGAATTCACTATGTTCCACATTCGTAGTAAGGGACGCTGCAGGAGTTCAAAACGAAGGCCATATGCCAAACTATTTAGTGACCTTGATGTATAGACCCTTGTAAAATGCCATGTCAGGAGGGTTAGCAACCCAATTAAAATTGCCAGCATGACCTGAAAGAAGCCATTGATAACAGGTAATTGTTAATTTCCCCAACTGCAGTTTCAAAGTATGCTGATAAATAGGTTTTGACATAGAAAGCTAGAACTAGTTTGCTAAGTGGAGTTTCTTATCTGTTAATATAAACAGAAGAAAAAAGAGAGAATTGTCCTCAAGTTTTTGGCAGAAATGGGAAGGCTGACTGCAAGCATAATAAATTGGGGGTGTTTGCAGCGAGGGTGGCCAATGTTGCGGATAGCATTTGATAGAATCTCAGGTGTGATGAGGCACTTTTAGCAGAGTTGGGGACTATCTCATGTTTTGGGGCTTCATTGCACATAATTCTATGATAAAGGTGACTAAAATAATAGCTATTTTCCTAACATTCATTAGGCAGTAAACTGTGTCTGGTTTGACATTTAATATTTGAATCATCAATATAAGATCTCTTCATCAATGCTTTCATGCATGATTTCAACCTTAACCGTGATAATATCATGTTGTTGCATCTACTTTTTTTTTTGTGTGTGTGTGTAAATGATTCTATTAGTCACATAATTGACTTTGTTTATGGGAAAAATTCAGTTACCATGATGGCGAGGCGAGCTACAAAGACGCTGTAGTATGATGAGAGACAACGGGTACTTGGATACGGAAATTCTTCTTGTTCAACATCCCTATGGAGAGTTCCTCGGCCGCGGTGACAGTGAGCCTTTTTCCAAGAACAGGCAAAGCCAGAAAATTTGTTGCACACCCTTCTCAGCAGTGATCCCATTGGTGCGATTGAAGCTGGTGAAGATTCAAAGCTCACCACAGAGGGGTTTCTACGTGCTTCCAGCTCCATTTTATTCTCCTAAATCTATAAAGTAAGATGAGACTGCAATAGGACATTAGCAAGAATTTGAACCAGAGAGAGAGAGAGAGAGTGTGTGTGTGAGAGAGAGAAAGATATGAGGACGGTGTGTTTTATATTACTACTAGTGTCAATGTCCACTTTGGGAGGCACATTTGCTTGTAATTTTCAAAAGTGGGAAGTTGTGGTGGTGTTACTCACTTATTCCTCATCCACATCTCCATCTTTTTTCAGTTGCCTTTGACAAATTTGACCGTTAATAGTATGGGAATTTAAGTGGCAAAAAGTTACTTGACTGTCCTTGAGCATTTTCATTCTTCAAATTTCTTCTAATTAGGGTAGAGAAAAGAACATTATATTGGTGGTTGACAAAGGCATAAAATTACTTGACTGTCCTTGAGCTTTGTCAATCATCAAACTTTCTTCTAATTAGGGAAGAGAAAAGAACATTGTATTGGTGGTTGAAAAGTCCTCCATCAGCCAAAACTTTGGTAGGCCATGTATGGACCATGTTTGGGAATTTAGAGACCATGCATGGAAACCCTAGACCTAGGACACCATGTTGATGGGACTATACAAACAATTATTGGCTCAAGCATATTGTGAAGTTCAAGAAATTATAAAGTTGGCCGGACATGCAATCAAAAAGTTGAATGAAACTGACACGTGTGGTTGTAGGGCATCTCCTCACGCATGGGTCTAGGGGCTCAATGGGACCAATTGCCCCCACTGATTTATATATATATATTTGTTATTATATACCTACCAACTTTTTAATTCTAAATTATATACCTATAAAATTTTAAAATTGCCCCTAATGAAATTACAAAAAGACCCAACTATTGCCTACGTCCCATGTTTTATTTATTTATTTTTTTTTAAGATCTGTCCCTCACATAATTTTCTGAATCTGCATCTCCTAATAAAGCTAGTGACTAAGTGGTTCCGGATCTAATAATTTCTCGAAGTTTAGTGTACGTATATGGGGGCATTTGGGACTTTTTAATAATGGAATAACTTTGAACAGTGTTGTTGGTACTTGTTGATTGAAGGCAAAAGTGATTATGCAAAACAAAGTAAGATTATAGTTATTCAAATCACAAGATTGTGAATGGGGAGGTGATCATAATCTTCTGTGGGCCAACCAACCAAAACAAAATGACATGTAATCACAGAATTGGCAAATGATGGTGAGAGCATTCTGGTCATTTCAGCAAATATTGTGATACATGAGTCAAATATGGTGCAAATCGTGATTATGGATAATGATCATATGAGCAAATATTGTGTTACACGAGTGAAATATAGTGCAATTCGTCTTTATTAATATGAAATAGCACTACTGGGTTTATGCGGTTGACAAGTATTTGAGCTGCCTCCAAATGGGTTTTATGTTCAGACCCAAAACCAGTTGCCTAGCGGTTTATGTGGTTGACAACTACTCACACATGTATGCCTCTATTCTTGACCTTTTTTTAAAAAGTAAGAGCTTAGTACCGCTAGGCTATTGGCCTATTGATTACTTTTGAAAAGTTTCAAAAATAGATATAAGAAGTATGGACATAGACATGGAATATAGACATGATACGACATAGATAAGTTTGACACGTCAAGTTTTAAAAAAGTAGAACATGAATATGGTGAGAACCCTGCTAATATAAATATAATTTATATGTTAAAGTTGCATAAGTTAAAAGATAAAAAAAGAATATATTACTATATTTATAGTGCATATGATATTAATATCCTACCTTGATATTAGTTATGTTTTGCTTATTACATGAGGTGTAATTTTTAAGGAAAAAATGTTGGATACTTTATGTATGTTCATAACGTTGTTTTTAAGATTGTCATGCAGTTGTTTTGTATAAGATAAATTATGTGAGATGTGTTGGCCAAATGTTCGAAATGTATATGCTAAGTTTTTGAAATAATAAAAAGTATTTTAAAATTATGAACAATATCATAAAATGTTGGACAAAAGTGTCTATAAAGTATTGGTGTCTTACATGAAGAGACACTTCCTTAGTACTTAGAAAAACACAAATTTGTATGAGTTGGACTCCTCAATTTTTACGAACTTTATAATTACATAAACCCTCGTGGATTAGTTGACAACAAAACCATTTAACTCCAAATTTCACCTATTAAAGTTGTGACTGGCTTCATCTTTTCCTCTAAACACTTTGTGTGGATATGAATAGAATTAAATATTGCCTTTATGTAAAGCAAAAAAAAAAAAAAAAAGAGAGAATAAAGAAAGAAAATAAATGAAAGATCTTTGGCTATTTTAACTTGAATTAAGTGGAGATAGATATCAAACCTCTCTCTCTCAATTTGCCTACCAAAAAAAACCCTCTCTCTCTCTCTCTCTCTCTCCCCTCCTTAATATCCATGGACTAATGCGGAGGGCGGCTACATAAAATAAAGAAAAACACACACACAAAAGTTATGGGCGTGCACAATGTGTCTTGACTTGGTGTGTTTTAGGGTTTCAGCCAACAGAACACTGCATTAGTGATTCCACCTCACACAACACACACACACACACACACACACACCCATCATCATCAGATTCATCACCAACTGTAAATTTGCTTGTGGCTTACTTAACACCCCACTAATGCCCATATAGCTGATGTTGTGGTTTAGCTTTAAACCAACATGGATGGGTGCGAATAATTTTCCCACCGTTGCCATAAAGATTGCTTATATTAAAGGCCTACACACAATAAGAAAGCATATCTCACTTGTGTCCTTGTTAGGTGCCACTTTTCTTTTTTCAATTGTCACAATCATATCCTTGTATAAAAACTAGTAGCTAGGTTATCGTGGGATGTCTTGAATGTACGTACGTGTGTGTAGGATAAATTGTTGAATCCTATGTAGGTCATTTAGACCATTAGATGTCTAAATGGTGGAGCTGACGTTTTTTTGATGCAATTTGACAATCCTATTTTGACTTACAAAAATACATTTTCAATTGTAAACGGTTTCGTTTATCAATCAAATTCCATTGTTTAAAACTACCTATAGGGGGTAGGGGTCGAGTTATTGATTTGAGATGGATCCAGAAAAAGGAGGGTTTTAGTTATAATTCAGAAACGATTCTTGTATATATTTCACAGAAACGTGAAATCAAAGTAGGCGATAAAGTAACTGGAAGACATGAAAATAAAGGTATCAGGTTCTGTTTTTGTTCAGAATTTGTTAAACACTTTCGGAAACAGCTTTGCTTATCAGGCAAATTCCATTGTTAAGGCTCAATTTGGTTGGAGGGTTTTGGAAGGAAAAGAAAAGAAAGGTAGCGGAGAGAAATGAAATGTGGTGTTTTGGTATAAATTTTTAATGGAAACAAAGGAAATGGGAGGGCGGAAGGAAATAAATTATATATGATGTGTTAGTATTGTTATCCTTCCAAAAATGAAAGAAAATAAAAGGGAAAGAAATGTCAGTTTTTTAATGAAATTTTATTAATACTAAATTTGTTTTTTTTTTTTTTTTTTTTTTTTTTTCTAAAAACAAAATCTATGAAGAAGGGTATGGTAGTAAATTGATTAAAATAATTTTTTTTCCTTTCTTTCTTCAAACATAATTTCTATTACTTATTTATTTATTTATTTTGGTAATCAATCCAATACCATACTGATTAACAATATCCTCTTTCTTTTGTTCAAAATTTTTGGTAAAGGTCAAAATGGAGTTGAATTGTTTTGCCTCGGAGACGTCCACTTCCTCATGCCCTCGCATTTTTTTTCAACTCGGATACTTCCATTTGTCTGTACTTTGCTTTTCCATAATACACACACACACACACACACACGCACACATTTACGCATATTAATCATTGCATTGCTTCGGCCGTGAAGATAACCAAACTTATCCCTTTAGAAAGCTACTGTTATTATTTAAATTTTGGATTAGGTACATGGTGTTACTTTCTTCTCACAAAGTCCTAATTTTATCTCCTAAAACAAAAGCAAACAGAGACAAAAAAAAAAAAAAAAAAAAAAAGGGAAAAAAAAAAAAGAAAAGGAAAAAAGGCTGGTCACTGATGTAACTTGGATTGATATAATCTAATTTTTGGAGTGCCTTGACATTAAAAGGTTATTTGATTCGCTAATTGGCGTTTGAAGGCTAGTGGTGCATATCAAAAGAGGAACAAAGACATCACATTCCATGTACCTCTTGCTTGTGAGTTGTGACACATTAATGCATAGATATAGAATATATATATATACACATATACAACGCACACATTTGTGCAGTGTATTGTGTGTCTCGTAGTTTTGCGTGTGGCTATCACTAAGAGCTGTTTGGGTCCACCATTCACTGGGTTCTTTTTTCAAGTGTTTTTCAACGGATGTGGACTGGGATAGCCAGGTGTCGACCAACCATTGGCTGAAACAAAGTATTGGTAAATCAAAGTCTAATCATCAAGATTATGGTAGTAGAGGCCCATAATTTCTCCAACTAAGGACATGGATATATACTACGATTCCAGAAAATCACCATTTTTGGTTGATAAGGTGCACCAAGATAAAAAGAAGATAAAGCAAACACACCATCCATTGCCGCGGATATGTTCCTTAATATAGATCGATGTAACATGTTCTTAATAAAATTTGTAATTTTAATTTTTTGGAGATCATATCGTCTAGACTGATGACTCGGTGATAAAGAAAAATGATAAAAAGTTATGAAATTGACTGATTACAAGTGGCAGCGCGGTATATCATTGAGCGAACCTAATCTTGTCTGCAGGCTTGAGGAAAATGATGTTTACCAGACTAAGATAATTAGCTGAAAATGACTACCAAGAAGGCATTTAAAGTAGTAGTTTAAAATGGTGTACATGAATTGTTAAAGCACATACCAAACACAAATATTGAAAACTGATTCCACCAAGAAACATAGTACATATTGATAAGCAGGAGGCAACAGAAGAAAGAGTAGTGAAGTTGGTCCTAATTTGAACCCAGCCAATAGACACAAGTGGCCTATGGAAAGGTGGAGTAAGAAAACAGATTGACAATTTGTTTGGTATAAAAAACAAGAACAAGTGTTTTATTATGCAAGTATAAAAAAAAAAAAAAAAAAAAAAAAAAACCCAAACAAACAAACTAGAGGTAATGGGTAATTACTACTTTTCTCTGGAAATGCTTTTCTTTTGACATTTTTGACCTTTTTACGGATAAGAATAAGCTCTTCATCCTCATTTCATTTTCCTTGTAGCCAAATACAGAAG